AGGTCGGTGAGGTCTGCTCCACACTACACACTGCCACAATACTACAACTATTTTGAATTACGCTATTTAAACTGTTTTTCTTCACTACTTTATGGCTCTGGCCAAAACTCAAGGTTTTTTCATTCACTTGTACACACTTTTTCACTTCGAAGCTGCCTGATTACCCCTCCCACTCCACTAGTGAGACAGGAGCTCCCAACCCACGTCCACCCAACACGATGGTCACAAGACAATGTGATGTGTGTGTGTGTGTGTGTGTGTGTGTGTGTGTGTGTGCACGTGTTTGTTTTAGGCTTATATTGAGGTTTCCCCACCCCCAGGTTGAACTACTCATCTTCTCCAGGATGCAACCCCCACAACAGTTTACTAATTCCCTGGTACTTATTTACTTCTAGGTGAACAAAGGCAATAGGCTAAAGGAATGTGCCCAACCATTTATGTCCCACCTGGGAATCAAACTTGGAATTTCTAATCATGTGTTGAGAACGATCCCCTTCGGTTAGACTAAAAGGCCTTCCACCACTTCCTTTGTTCTTGTTCTTAAGTACATTGTATTTTTCCCAACACATTTAAGAAATCTCTGTCAGTAGACATAAACAATCTTTGTGTATATTTTCTTACTTTAATCTGAGCAACAAGGTCTTCCTCAAGTTTTGCATAAGTAATAGCAACATCTGCAGCTGTGGTGGGCGGAGCAACAACACAGTCATCCGCACTCACAAGTTCAAAATCCATGGCAGTTTGAGTGATCTGCTCTTGAGGAGGGACAGGTACCTACAACAGAAAATGTAATAAATCCCCATTAATGTACATTGACCGAGTTACTAAAGCTTTAAATACAATATTAAAGTAGGTTAATTAAACTTTGTCCATTTATTAAAGGTATATTATTTACATATGGTAAAAAAAATTAGCTTCCTTTCTGGTGCCAAAGTATACATACCAAACCAGTGAACCAAATCTTTTGAAAGCTTAAACTATTTTATGACGCTCGGACAACTTGTAAACTAATAATAATAACCAACTCTAGAGCAAAAAAATGTATAAATAAGAAATATTTCATACAATTTGTTAATCTTAAATTTAATAAGAACCAGAATGGGATGGAAAACAAGCACAATAAGGGGGAACATGGAAAACTACAGTATATATGATTTGAGAAAGATCATTAGTCTGATATTGCTTAGGTAATGAACCAAGTTGGCAAAACAATAATAATTCTCATTGTTGAGAACAGGAAGCCTGAACTTAGGCTTATTAACCCTTAAGCTGCGCAATGCACCTGCAGGCCCACATCTGGGGTGCGCAACGCGCCTGCAGGCCCACATCTGGGGTGCGCAACGCGCCTGCAGGCCCACGTCTGGGGTGCGCAACGTGCCTGCAGGCCCATGTCTGGGGTGCGTAACGCGCCTGCAGGCCCATATCTGGGGTGCGCAACGCGCCTCCAGGTATTTATATTTTAAGCGTTCCATTCAAAACTCCCGCGGCTACATGGGGTTCACATCAGCTTCCTCAGGGCTCTTGTAAAGAGACGCCATCTTTAAAAAAAATCGTGGGCCACATTCCTGGGTCTGAGAGTCTCAATACTGAGTGAGCAACCAAGGCTGGCTCACAGCACTGCTGTTCAGCTTGTGACCAGAGCATCGCCTAATAATGTCAAAATATATATATATATAACTTGTATTATTTAGCCATGATAGTATTACAGAGGAGCCTGAGTGTGTAATGACTGTGTACAATATTCAAATATCAGTGACTCAATGCTGTTCACAATGTTCACAGCGCTAGCCACAGCACCACAGCATTATTTCGTCCATCTAGGATTCTTCAAACGACTTCCTAGGTTCCTTTACAAAATAAACTTGTGCTCAATTATTCATTTACACGATTTAGTGACCAGTATTGTGATAACAGCAGGATTGTGGTGATAATTAGCACTGTGCGTAGTATTGTGGGAGGAGGAATTGTGGTGAGGGAGCGAGGGAGAGAATCGAGGTAGCCTCACTGTGTGTGGCAGCCACTCTTGTTTTGCTCACCATTAGTGGTTCGTTATGGTGAACACATTTGTACATGGGTATATACAATGTGTGTATATAGTGTAATAACAGCAACAGGAGTATGTTGGGAGGAGCTATTTTGGTGAGGGAGGTCACGTAATTGTAGCTTCGTCTGCTGGCTGCTGTGTGACTTCTCATGCAGTGTATGGTGGCCACTGTAAAGTTTGGACACAATACTGGCTTACTTGCATAGTTCTGGTGAATACAACATGTAGATAGGTATACATAACATGTGTAGTGTAATAAAAACAATAACAGTATGGTGGGAGGAGCAATGTTGGCAAGTAATATGTTGGAGGAGTGAGAGAGACTGGCTAGTGTGGCAGCTGACACTCGCAGAGTTCTGAGTGTGTTGATGGTGAATGTATATAGTGTGTGATAGTGTATAGTGTGTAAATAGATTGTATATAACATAAATTAGCATGATGCATGGGAAATATGTGCAACATATGTATATACAGGTGTCATGCACGTAACAGTGTCTTCGGACAGTACGGATGTTCTACTGCCATGATATAGTGTACATGTTCATTATACGTAGGATTGGCATGAAAAAACAAATAAAATTATTTGGAGCTGTGGGCAAAAAAATGAACAAAAATATATTCATGGCATCTATAACCGGACGTGCTAGTGGCCCTGGGGGCATACGCCACGGGTGACCAGGGATTGATGACATCACGAGCGAACTTACGGACCCCATAGCAGCCAAAGTAAGTACAATTTTGACTTTTTGTTATCATATCTATACTCAGGGAAGGGTTTTCGACACTTTAAAAAAAAAAAAAAGAATTTTTTCCAGAGAATTTATTTCCTGCGCACTTGGGGGGTGTCATATTTGGAAACCGAGCAGTTGAGGGGTTAAGGTAACCCGTAAGTCAATTACTGATCTTCCCCAGGATGCAACCCACAACAGTTGCCTAACTCCCGGGTACCTATTTACACCCATTTTTGTCCCACTTGAACAGCACTAAAACCTAGGATTTGTTGTGAGTTGTGAACATTGACCATTGTTAAATGAGTATTGGAGGTGTAACAGCTACAAGGAATGTAGCGGATGCAGGTAAGTAAGCATTATCATACTCCAGTAGTTGTAAACACTTTCCCACTTAAATAAGAAAGGTAGAAGAGTAACAAACTTACCGTGTTCATATCAACTGGCAGTCCACCACGAGTTGCTTCAATGAGCTGGTCGAAGCCTTTGCTCATACGCAGGTATTCCTTAGCTTGCTCCATCTCTCCCCGTTTCTTGGCCTCCAAGGCTGCTTGTTTGAACTGTGTTTGTCTTTTAGTAAGGAATGCAAGTTGTTTTTCCACTCGAGACTGAGGAGCTTGTCTCACTAAAATTACATATTAACATAATCCATTAGAACATAATTAGAAATGCAGCATGAAAAATGCTTATAATCTTTCCTACCCACAAACAGATAAAAATGTATACGGAAGAACCCATCAATCATAAGAGAGAAAGAACTAATAAAGAGCAATAGGAAAGTTTGCTAAGAATTAAAAAGCAAATTCAGTAAGAAATTAAAATGAAACCAGAAGGTATGCCTGGAAATTTAAAAAGAATATCAAAGGAGAGAATAAGAGAATAAGTCGGGCTGGGCCATCAATAGCCCAACCCGACTGGAGGAACCCCAAGCCCTGGCACAGCCCTTCCGAGAAAGCCGAGAACGGCCATCCCGGAGAACCAACAAGTCTGACACAGTACGACAACTAGATGAAGCCGTCTGCAGAAACTGTGTGATCACAGTCTCCACAAACAACAACAGACAAAACGGTAATGAAAACCTAAAAGCCAGGGCCTAAGCGTATTCCAAAGAAAGAGTGAGCACAGCCTGACGGCATGCGTGGCGAGGAACAAAGACATCTCCTCCTTGAGAATAGGTGCAAAGAGCTTCAACAGCACTGCTGAAGCCCTAGATGCTGAGGCCAGCGGACCAGATGAAGGCCCGGCACTCAATGGCTCCACATCCTCCTCAAGCTACGCCGAAGACAGCTCAAGAGGGGAAAAGAAGCGCAAGACCGAAGCCAAGTGCCCACGGTACGCAAATCCTCAGCGATCAAGGACGTTGAAAGGGTGAGAACCGGCACGTGCAGCTGCACAAGGCCAACATCCAGAGGAAGCACGGGGATAGAACGGTAGAAGTTTCTACAAACCTATAGAATGGTAGAAGTTTTTCGCCATTCAAGCGTGCGGGTCCGACAGAACCCATGCCATGCCCCAACGAAAAGAATGGGCAGTCTGCCAGTCAGGAAGACTCCGGAATTTCCAAACGCACCCAATACGGGGGAAGAAGAACTGAACTCAAATGAGGATGGAGCCATCATGGAGGCAGAATCTGAGTCTCGCAGGAGGTAAGCAGTAAGTGCCCCTCGAACCTCCTTAGATAAGATACGGAACCGAACCCGGGGAGGAGTCGACCCCAAATCATACTCATACAGGGAAGGGGGTAAGAAAACCCCTCCCCTTGCAACAACAAACCCCACGAAGAGGGCACCAACGCCCATGCAGGGTCAAAGGGGGCTCAAGTCCCACATGTCAACTCCTTCCCAGCCCCAGAATCCTCCAAACCAGGACCCAGGGCAGAGCAGTCCTCCATACCCTCTATCCATAAAGAAAATGCAGAAAAGAAGGGGGCCTGCTGGTGGGACCCAGAAGCCTTGGCAGGAGGAACCAGCTCAAATGCCTCTGTCCCAAACCTGAAGCGGACAGCCCCGAAGCTGCCCGAGTCTCATTTAAATCCTGCCCTCGACTCCGAAATCATCAGACGTTTGGAAGCCTGAAGCAGGAGGAAGAGGGGAGGGAGTGGAACAGGGTGAATAACAGGGGAAAGACCAGGGAGCGCAGACTGAACCAAAGTCGAGGCAACTAACGCCCCCAGGTCCGGGTCCCTATAACCAAAACGGGGCAGCCTCGGGGCACCCGGGTGGGCAACCAACCTAGTACATTGCAGATGCTGCCTGTACCAGTATATCAATGTCAGCAGTGGGTAAAATGGAGAACTAGCAGAGAGCATGACTTGCAAGACTCAGGGTCAAAGGTGTCATTGACCCAACAGGCAACATCATGGAGGCAAAAACAGTGACTGTCACCTAAAACAAGGGCACACAGCAACCTTCAAACTTGCAGGAGGCAAGGTTGAACCCAAAAGATGCATCCATAGGTCTAATGAGCCCCAATGGGAATTTCCAGGACCTGTAGGCTGACTGCTATGGGAAGCCAAGTCAAGGTACAGCAAAACCAGCTGGGCCCAAACTAATAAGGGAATCTGTTAAAGCTGAACACCTGTAATGTGTACAATCATGGGCACCTAGAGGAGGGCCACCCAAACAACAGAAGTGGACCAATAGCAAACCAGGCAAACCCCCCATCCCCAGGCAAGGAAAACAAAAATAAAATAAAACCTCCGCACAAGTACAATGTCCCCAGAGGAACTGAAACCTGCCGCCGTGTTGGTAGGCGAGCTGCACTGTACCTTGCGCCCCTACTAGCAAACAATGGGATGCTTGAGGGAGCCGACGTGGAGTGGACAGCACGCTGAACATGTGATCCTGTGGTCCCGAGTTCGATCCCGGGCGCTGGCGAGAAACATTGGGCAGAGTTTCTTTCACACTATGCCCCTGTTACCTAGCAGTAAATAGGTACCTGGAAGTTAGTCAGCTGTCACGGACTGCTTCCTGGGGGTGTGTGTGTTTGTGTGTGTGTGTGTGTGATGCGAAAAAAAAAAAATAGTAGTAGTAGTAGTTAGAAACAGTTGATTGACAGTTGAGAGGTGGGCCGAAAGAGCAGAGCTCAACCCCCGCAAGCACAACTAGGTGAACACAAGTAGGTGAATACAATACAACTTTCTACCCAAGGCCAAACAAAAGTCACAAAAACCCCAGTTGGCCCCAAGGGCAGGATAAGAGCTGAGCGCCAAAGACCTCTACGGAAGCGGTCCCTGAAAGTTCTATGGAAGGGAACCCTAGAACCCAAAGGTAGTACTTACAGGGCGCCTAGAGAAGAGAACCCTAAGCACATGCAGCCCCAGTACTCTCAAAGTTATTCTGGCCACTGTGCTACACACACAGCAGAACACACCACTAAGGTACACAACTGCTTAGGAACCTGGGGCCAGAGTCAATATCCACCCCGGACAGCATCAGCCAACAAACTGGAGTGGTTGGATAGCCGGTGCATGGGGTCCGGAGCTCCCCCCCCCTTCCCCTCCCAGGGAGGGAAGGACTGCACAGACAAGCAGTGTGACGGTGGAGTGTGGCATTTGCTTGCTTGCTTGTTTTTAAGTAGGGGAGTTCTGCCTCTCCATTTGGTCTTTGGTTGCAATTTTCTTACCATGTGGAGTCTGTTTTGTTATGCCTACTTTTCTGGGTGCCAACCCCAGTCGATGGCAGACATGGATTGTCTCCAAATACATGGGGATTTCCATAGGCCATTGCTCCCTTTGCCTCTCTGAGGGGGCCAGGTTCTGGCTTGTGGTCCCCGGTAGGCTGAACAGCAATTAACTGATGCACCAGATTAATATAATAAATATCAGCCTGATAGCTCCAGGGAACCGAAGGGGCTCTCCTCAGAAAAAGTAGCAAGCAAGTGAATGAGGTGAAAAGGGAAGTAGTCAAGGCAAATGCAATACTATACATAATTTATGTGTAGAAATGGTAAGTAATAGGATCAGGAGCCATTGAAATTGGCAACATAAAAGGTGGCAACATAAAAGGCTTAAGCTTGCTCTGCAATCATATACAGGCGAGTATACACACATTCAGAGATACAAAAATGCATCTCACACACACATTATTCACTCACTCACTCTACCTCAGACTTGGAGAGTCAGTATTTTAAAGTTATCAGTCCCACATATAATTTATAAACACACTAGACTAGTAAGAATTTCTCAATACAGAAAATATATACCCCTCTCATTAATAGTATATCTACACAACCCTCTATCCAAGAGATAAGTATACATTTATATAATATATGTGTTCTGCAACTATCATAATTATAATACAATGCAGAAATGTACAGTAGTGTATACAACTCACCATTCATTGGTGGAGGTGGATGAGGGGCAGCAACAGGTAACTGGCCTGCTATCTTGGGTTGCTTTGGTGGAGGCCCTGCTGAACTATCTTGGTTGCTTTCCACAGCAGATGCAGAAGTGGTAGTAGGAGCAGTAGGAAGAGCGTCAGCAGGAGTTGGCTTAATAGCCACACCAGGGATAGGAGGAAAGCCTAAAGAATAAACAGAGACATTCTTGGTATAGAATCCATTTTATCATTCAGTTATCTATTAATCAATATTTAAAACTTGTACTAACAAATGTATATGTACCCGTGTCTTAATTATAATCCGAAGTTTGGTTTAACACAGGAATTCAAATGTCTATGTGCACTAGTACTGTACTATATTGCAAGTATTAGTTCCTAATTCAAAATAGGAGTTACAAAAGAAAAATCCAGTATTGAATGTAATGAAACGCCATTTTCTGGGTGAGTCCCGGAGGCTCTACAAAGCATACCAAGCATACCGGGCTAATATGTATGAATTAGACCGTAGCATCAGTCAATTTAATTGGAGTTCTATGCCTACCGAGGACCACAAGCCAGAACCTGGCCCCCTCAGAGAGGCACAAGGAGCAATTGCATATAGAAACCCCCATGTGGTTGGAAGCATTCTATGTCTGCCATCTACTGGGTTAGGCACCCAGAAAGGTAGGCTTCCCAAAACAAACTACAGATGGTTAAAAATTGCGATCGAAAGCCGAACTAGCAAGCAGAACTCCCTAAACCGAAAACAAGCAAACAAGCATGAAGTCATCATTGCCGCTGTCTGAGCAGCTTCCCCCTCCCTGGGATGGGGAAGGGAGAGCCCCACACCCACCCCCCCATGCCGGCTATCCAACATCAGTTTAGAGGCTGAATGTCAAAAACTTGAATAAACTGCCGACTGGAGGGAGGGAGGGTTGCCAGGGAGCCTCCGGGACTCATCCAGAAAATGGCATTTCATTATATTCAATGCTGGTTTTTTGTAGAGAACTCCTCCGGCTCCCGCCACTCACTCCTCAACTCAAAGTCGAGATAACAGGCTGCAACATGTGACCCCACGGCTACACATGCCCGAATAGGGCCAGGAACATTAACAAGGTACTGTGCAGCCAGGACCCCAGTTCAATCGCCAAGAACCCCACATCCGAATGTCAGCCCAGGGAATGTTACCAAAAACAGCAGCCAAAGCTGTGAACTTCCGAACGTTGTGGGCACGGGGCTAGACCGCAGGCTGGCTGGACAGAATAACCCTGTGGACGACCTGGGAGACCCACACCCTGGAACAGTAAAGAAGGGGAAACCAGGTCCACCCAAAGCGTGTCTCCAGCCACTGAGGCCGTGGCTTGCAAGTAACACCGAAGAGCCGCAACCGAACACAAGATATGATGCATCCCTGGCCCAACCAATCAAGCATCAACAACCCAAGGACCCCTCTGGAAAGTAGCAGCCTCATTCTTCTCCAGAAAAGAAGGAGACGGCTGCAAACGAAACAAACCGACCACCAAGACCGAAAGAGTAGAAAACTCTGTGCCAGAGGAGAGCATGAAACTCACCGACCCGACCCCTAGAGGCCAATGCCAAGAAGAAAAGGGCCTTAGAAAAACAATCCTGAACCAAAGGGGCCACCACAAACTGAGGAAAACAGAGCACCTGGTCACACGACCAGGACGACTCAGGTGGGGCAAGAGCAGGATGGAAGTGAAACAATGCTTGAGATCTCTCTTGAGGTTATCTTGAGATGATTTCGGGGCTTTTTTTTTAGTGTCCCCGCGGTCCGGTCCTCGACCAGGCCTCCACCCCCAGGAAGCAGCCCGTGACAGCTGACTAACACCCAGGTACCTATTTTACTGCTAGGTAACAGGGGCATAGGGTGAAAGAAACTCTGCCCAATGTTTCTCGCCGGCGCCTGGGATCGAACCCAGGACCACAGGATCACAAGAGATAGCTTGCGGAATGGAACAGAAGTGACATCCATTCTGAACGCAAGCTGAAGCGGCTCCGCCAGTGCCGCACGATATGAGGCAACAGTATTCGGCATAAGATGATGGTCCTGAAAAAGCCAAGAGAGAAAGGACAAAACAGCCTGATCAGAAATCGAAGATAACCCACGAAGAGACAGAGACGAAAGGACCGCCAGGAAACTTCATACAGCCACCGAGACGAAAACACGCAGGAGGCACACCATCACTATCAGAAGGGGAAGGACACGAAGCCACCTGATCACCATACAAGTGGTGATAAACCCGTGTCAGAAAGACCAGATGTGAAGATCGGAGGAAAAGATCAAACCAGCCACATACCTGACTGGACCGATCTGTTGAAAGAGGCAGAGCCGCGGAAAGTACTCCGGGTTCGCACACACTGAGCAAGCAGCGCTTGAAACCAAAGGCTGGGCCGGCCATCAAGGGGCCACAGGACTACTCTCCCCTATTAAGTCTCCAAACTAAGCCAGAACCTGAAGCAACAGCTGGACTGGGAAAAAGAGGTACAGGTAACCTCCACCTCAATTAGTCCTGCCAAAAGGCATCAACCCGGGGAAGGCTGCCACATATACTGGGAGATGCCTCGACCATGCTGACACAAAGAGGTCCACCATTGAGCGCCTGTACATCTGGCAGAACCAACTGAAGGAGTCAGCATTGACACATCCATTACGTGGAGAGTGGAATGAACCGAGACAGGCTGTGAACTCCCGCACCGTGCTGTGAGCCTAATGGAAGAACGGACCCCACCAACCCTGGCTGGCCTGGTGAGCACTAGTCACAAAGCCCCAGCTGAGAGACGACGCATCCATGAACACATCGAGCAAGGGCTCAGGTAGGTGCCATGGCAATGAATCCCCCAAAAAACGAAGAGGAAGGGTTCGCAAGGCCCCCCTCCCAGGATCCAATCCCTGTGATAGCGAGAACGTCAGAAGGGACGTCCCGACGGGTCGACCAGCAAGGCGAAGTTCAGACTCCCGCACAGCTCCTTGAACAACAGATGAGTGGCCCCTGACCCCGAGTGCCCTCCAAAAATAGTCCAAGGCGGGGCTGCAGCTGCAGCAACACCGCTGGAGGGAGAGACGAGGAAGCAGTACGAGGGTCCCACACAAGACCCAGCAAAGTCCGAACCTGTGAGGGAACCAAATAGGATTTCCTCCATTTCACCAAAAAGCCAAACCTGGCAAGCTGGGAAAGAATCAAATCCCTGGCGAGCAGACACACGACACCAGCTGGAGGCCCAAACCAGCCAGTCGTCGAAATAGGCCTGAACCCGGACCCCTAGCAAACGCAAACAAGCCACCACGACCCAGGCAAGGCATATAAAAATGCGAGGAGCCAGATTCAAGCTGAATAGAAGGCAGTGAAAGCAGTAAGCATGCCAGCCCACAACAAAACCAAGCCAGTCCCTGAACCCCGGATGAACCAGGACATGCCAATATGCGTCCCGGAGGTCCAGAGACACCATCCAAGCATCCGGCACCAAAAGAAGCTAGACCTGGGTCAGAATGGTCATCCAAAAGATGGGGCAAAAGACCCATGGGTTCATACGGGACAAGTCCAGAATGAACCTCAGATCCGCACAGTCCCGTTTCGGCATTGGAAACAGGCGTGAAACCCTCCTGAGGGATGCCGTCGTTTTGACCACGCCCAAGCATACCCACTCCAGGATGACCTGACAGAGCGCAGGAGAAGAGCCCTGCCCCTCTAAACCCGAACCCCCCGAAGGAGGAGGAGCTACCCATCGCCACCGGAGGCCGGAAGAATTGACCCGAAATGCCCACGAATCATGGGACCAGTCATGGGCAAACAGAGCAAGCCTCTCCCCCCTCAACAGAGCAAACTGTGAAAGGGCCAACGATCCTTACGAGAAGCCGAACAACGAGCAGACCAGACCAGACACTATCGGCTCCGACCCTGAACCCTGGCATGACCCTCCAGGCAGGATGCCCGCGGCCACCTCCATCCCCCACCCTGGAGAACCATCAAGTCCAACATGGGACAGCAACTAGACGAAGCCACCTGCAGATACTGCACACCCGAAGACTCTGCAAACAGCAACAGCAAAATGGGGATAAAAATCTACAAGTCAGGGGCCCAAACAGATTCCAAAGAGCGAGTGAGCACCTCCTGTCAGCACACGAGGCAAGAAGCAAAGAACAGAGACATCACTTCCTTCAGAATCGCCGCAAACAACTTCAACAAGGCAGCCGATGCCCGAACCGCCTCCACATCCTCCGCGAGCCAATCCAAAGACAGCTTAAGCAGGAAAAAGAGGCGCAAGACCGAAGCTAAATGCCCACGGGCACGCAAGTCCTAAGCCACCAAGGACGCCAAAAGGGCGGGAACAAGCACGTGAAGCTGTACCTGGCCGATATCTCGAGGAAGAACAGGGGTGAAAAACACACATTGAGGTGCTCAAACTAGGCCCCCCCAGGTAAACCTGAACCACCATAACGGTTTCCCGCCACTCAAGCATGCGGGTCCGACAGAACACATGCCACGCTCCCAAAGAAAAGAAACAGCAGTCTGCCAATCAGGACGACTCCGTTACCTCATAACTCACTCAGTAAGGAAAAAGAGTAACCAAACTCAAATGAAGAAGGATCCATTGTAGTGCCGAAATCCGGGTTTCACAGGAGGTACGAAACAATGACCTCCCGAACCTCTTTAGGCAGAATGCAAGAAGCCGAAAACCTCCGGAAAGAGAGAACTGAGGATCCCAAGGGAACCTGGAACCAAACCCGAGGAGGAGTCGAACTCATATCAAACTCATACAGAATGGGGGGGGGGGGGATAAGAAAACCCTTTCCCCTACAACAACAAGCCCCGCACTGATGGTACCAACACCCAAGCGTCGTCAAACGGGGGCCGCGCCGAGGGTACCAACACCCAAGCTGCGTCAAACGGGGCCCAAGCTGAAGTCAACTCCTCCCCAGCCCCTGAATCCTCCACATCAGGGTCTGGGACGAATGACCGCCACTCAACACATCAGCCTCAGAACTGAGGTTGGATAGCCAGCGTGTGGGGATGTTAACAAGACGTTATGCTTGTTTGCTTGTTTTCGGTTTGGGGAGTTCGGCTTTCGGTCACAATTTTTAACCAGCTGTAGTTTGTTTTGGGATGCCCACCTTTCTGGGTGTCTAACCCGGTAGATGGCAGACGTAGAATAAGGGGGTTTCTCTAGGCCACTGCTCCTCGTGCCTCTCTGAGAGGGCCAGGTTCTGGCTCGTGGTCCCCAGTAGACATAGAACTCCAACTGAAATGACTGATGCCACAGTCTAATACATGCATATCAGCTCGGAAAGCTCCTGGGAGCCGGAGGGGCTCTACACAGAAAACAATATTCTCACTAGCTTGTCACAAAATCCAGTTTCACAAATATCCAGCCAAGTTAAAAACCTACATCTTCCAATCTTACTCAAGTCAGTGATCAAGAAGTGATCACAGGCTCGAGAATGCATTAACTCTGAAACAATTTGGGGTCAGTAATGCTACTACATCTATAACTACATTTTTCTCATGAATACTGTACTCCTGTAATTTATGATAATGTATTTACATATCTGACAATATATTTACTGTATTTTAGGTCTCTTAAAAATTTCTTGCTCATTCATTGTACATACTACTGTACCCTACTACACCAATACTTTATATAGCTTTCCTCCGTTAACTCTTGGCTCAATACTGTAACCCCGCGATTATCCGGGATTCGAACATCCGAAAAACGCCCTTATACGGCCAAAATCGTGAACGGATAAAGTTATCACAATATCCGCCCAAAATAGCCACAGGGACTGGATTAAAGCAGGTTTTCTGCAGAAATTACACTATCCGGTCAGTCCCCCAGATAATCGTGCCTTTGTCTGTATATGAAAACATGAGGCAGGCCATACGGTATTAATCCCGTCTGCCCGAGACTCGAGGCGCATGGTGTAGGTGGGGTGGGGTGGGTAGGTGGTGTTGGGAGGGTGGGAGGGGTGCGTCAGGAGGGACTACCTGGGTACAGGAATTACCATTAATTTTAGAACAATTAATCATAGCCAAAAACAAATAAAATAACTACTAGTAATTATGTAATAACAAATAAATAAGTTTCCTAAAAGCATTGTGCACAGGCTGAAGTTTCCTTAAAAAATATTGTGAATTTTTTTCCTCCTGGCGGCCTACATAACGCGCTATGGCTGCCCCAAGTGGACCTGTCCAGCACTGGTCAACCCATGTGCGTCCGTCCCTCGTGTTATACACAGTGCTGCGCCATTAGTGAAATATTTTTTTAAATAACTTTTTTATTTTCATAGTAACTTTGAACATTTTTGGCCAAGATTATGTCTGGTAGCAGCATCAATCGTTCTGGAGGTGTTAAGAGGAAGAAAGTTGTCCTAACAATTAAAGACAAGTCACAGTTATACGCCTCAACCAGTGCGGCCTCACAGTGTTGCGCCATTAGTGAAATATTTTTTTAAATAACTTTCTTAATTTTCATAGTAATTTTGAACATTTTTGGCCAAGAATATGTCTGGTAGCAGCATCAATCGTTCTGGAAGTGTTAAGAGGAAGAAGATTGTCCTAGCAATTAAAGACAAGTTACGTGTTGTTCAAACAGTGAGGCGTCACAGGCAGCCAAGCGCCTTCAACAAGTGAGGCGCCACAGGCAAGCCAAGCTCCTTCAACAAGTGAGGCATTATAGGCAAGCCAAGCGCTTTCAACAAGTGAGGCGCCACAGGCAAGCCAAGCGCTTTCAACAAGTGAGGCGCAAGCAAGCGCCTTTAACAAGTGAGGCGTCACAGGCAAGCCAAGCGCCTTCAACAAGTGAGGGCATGCAAGCGCTTCAACAAGTGAGGTGCAAGCAAGCACCTTCAACAAGTGAAGCCTCACAGGCAACCCAAATGCCCTCAACCAGTGAGGCTTCAGCAGCTGGCAGTCAAAACTAACTTAGCTTAATGAACTGTACAGTAATTTTAAGTGTTAATTTTAGTGTTGTGTTAGTATAGGTTACGTAAATTGTTAAGAATTTTTAACTTCAAGATGTGTGGCATCGATCAAGAAGACGAACACCAACAAGGTAAGTTGAGGTTTCTAGTTGAATATTTAATAATTGTATGTGGCAAGGCAATTCAAATTATGTTGTTTGTAGTATAAAAATAGTTGGAAATGGTCGCTTTTGGACTCGTAGGTGAAAAAGTACCATTATCCGAAAAATGTGATAATCCGGCTGGGGGTCCTTCCCATATAGTCCGGATGATCCGGAGACAGATCCCATATAGTCCGGAGACAGTATACATAAATAACTAAATTTAGTTTTCTCTAGCTATGTTATTTGCTACTCAAACTCCAGACTCACATTTGAAGTACAATAATTCATTAAAATTTACTATTCTGCTGGCTATTTATATTAAGGAATTTTAACTTTTAGGAACAAACTGTATTTATGCAAACAATTCATACTTGAAGTACTGTACCATATCTTATGGCAGATCTGGTGTTCTCTGTTGAAATGTTTGAACTGTAACATTCAGTATGTGGGAAATACCTCACGATTAGGTATAATCGTGAGGTATTACAATACCTCACAAATACCTAACTTTAAACACTATTTTGAGCATATGGATATTTCTTACCATATTGGTCTGCCTCTTAGGTAATGTGCATCCTCTGCTATTAGAGATCACAGCAAGGATAAGGGCCACCCTTTCACTTATAGCGATTTCATTGTTTGTTTTGTAGTTAATCTTACCATGAACTTAACACTTTAGAAAGTAACAGCATTTCAATCATTAGAATAAGACCCAAGTTGAACAGCTCAGAGATCGCTGCAAAAATTTGGTACTCAAAACATTAATAAATCATAATAAATATGAGATTGATGTATTGTTTCAAGTGAAGGTTAGACATACAGTATGTATTTATGAGTTTGGGTAGATCTAAATAGCAGCTTCCATGTATTGGCTAGTAGGTCTTCTGCAGTTATCTTTATTCTTATGTCCTTATCATTCTTAAATACATAGTTTCAAATTATATACAAGAAATCATAACAATATATAATATGATATTCTTAAAAAAATACCTTGGGACTTAAAACTCTGCCATCTTACCAGGAGGAGTAGGAAGTTCATCAAAGTCTACAGGTTTTCGAGCTTTGTGCTTCTTAATGGCATCTTCATACTGCTTCATAATGCGTTGATTCATACGTTCTTTACGAGCATTTTCCTCTATCTACAGAGGAGTAGGGTAAGGTAATTATCAGGAGAAAGCCATTATGACTACTGTATATAATAATTGGAAAGAACACAGGGATAAGGATTTAAGATAGGACAGAGATAGGAATAGTGTCCAATCACTTGGACAGTCTGGAATTGAATGCTTATCTGCAAAAAGTGAGACCGTCCCTCTATCATTCAGTCCAAGTACAGAGCAGTGTAATTAAGAAAGGCTATATAAGCATAAATGAGGTAACAATTCTCTGCACTGAAGGCAATTTTCTCCAAAAATCCAGAATTCAATACAATATTTCTGCACAATTTTGTTACCAGTAATATTTTATCATATCTAACAGTTATTACCTTAAACTAGTCTCTGATGCTAGGCTTACATTCCATTTGCTTATTGCTATATGCTATCTAAACCTCTCTCTCTCATATATCTCTACTACTATACTGAATATTACTCCACTTGAGCATGCTTCATAAACAGAGTCCTTTACTGTTTTATACAAACTTATTCATTCTTTAGTAAGTACTTTCATCCATGGGTCATTTCAGAATAAAGAGCCCAATGGGTTTAGCCACTGTGCTGCGCCAACCGAGAAAACTCGGGTCGGTTAGAAACTGCGCCAACCGAGAAAACACCTTTTGAATATTTGGTACCCATTCAAAATATGCGCGGGGTAGGTTGTGTACGAAATGGACTCTTAGGACCTCCAGAGAGAGGCAGCCATATCTTCAGTGATGATACATCTGATACAAGTAGCATAGATGAACAGTGCTAGCAGCTACCATGATGGTGTTTTCCATAGATATTTTCAAGAATAGCTGAATTTCTTCCAGAATGCCTGAATCTCTTCCAGATTGACTGACACTCTTCGAGAATGGTGGAATCTTCCAGATTGACAGACACTCTTTGAGAATGACTGAATCTCTACCAGTGTGGGACCTTACAAAGCGATCTTTTCAAGACTACCTTATAAATTGATCTTTTCCTATAATCTTTTCAAGACTAGCTTATGCTTTACTAGTTTGGCTACATACCACCTACAAATACTAAAGCCATAGGTGTACGTGAGTGCATTATTTGCAAGCACACAGAACGAAGAAACAAGAAGCGAAAATCTATCTGTACCTAGTGCAATGAGAGCGAAGTCACGCTGTGTACCATGGACTACTTCGTTGATTATTACTCACTTCCTAGGTACTGAATGTGTAATACAGTGTTACTGTGTAGTGTGTGAAACAGTACATATTGTAACTTCAGTGAATTTTTAACACGTAATATTAAGACAATAAACATTTATTATGGACACATTACTGACACAAGTATCACAGTTCAATGGAACATTATGAACGTTCTACTGTATACATACAGTATTGTAAAAGACAAATATGCATTACATACAATAAAAAACAAAACAAATAAAACTACATTGGAAATACATAGAACAAATAATTGAACATATATTTGTGGCAACTCGCAGTGCTTGAATGGCCCGAGGGACCACCTCTGGGAGCTTCACACACCGGCGACCAGCCCCTGATGACATCACGGCGCACTTTGTCCACGTCCCCATAGCTAAACTAAGTGGAATTTGGTATTTATTTTTACACAGACATGATCAGGGAAGGGAATTTATCATTTTACAAACAAAAAATTATTTTTGGGGAACACTTGACTTCATACTCACAGGGGAAATGTCACAATAAACTCGGCGCATCAGAGTGGTTAAGCATACTGTAACCCCGCGATTATCCGGGATTTAAACATCCGGAAAACGCCCTTATATGGCCAAAATCGTGATCGGATAAAGTTATCACAATATCTGGCCAAAATGGCCACAGGAACTGGATAAAAGCTGGTTTGGCTGGATGAAAATTCGGCCATACTGTATTAATCCCATCTGTGGCTCTAGACGCATGGTGGAGGAGGGGGTGGGGTAGGTGGGTGGTGTCGGGAGAGTGGGAGGGGAGCATCGGGAGGGACCACCTGGGTACAGGAATTACCATTAATTTTAGAACAATTAATCATAGCCAAAAAAAAATTAAATAAGTACTAGTAATTATGTAATAACAAATAAATAAGTTTCCTAAAAGCAATGTGCACAGGCTGAAGTTTCCTTCAAAAATATTGTGAGTTTTTTTTCCTCCTGGCGGCCTACGTAACGTGCTATAGCTGCCCCACCCCAAGTGGACCCGTCCAACAAAGGTCAACCCATGTGCGTCTGTCCCTCGTGTTATACACAGTGCTGCGCCATTTGTGAAATATTTTTTTAAATAACTTTTTTATTTTCATAGTAACTTTAAACATTTTTGGCCAAGACAATGTCTGGTAGCAGCATCACTCGTTCTGGAGGTGTTAAGAGGAAGAAGGTTGTCCTAGCAATTAAAGACAAGTTATGTGTTGTTCAACCAGTGAGGCATCACAGGCAGCCAAATGCCTTCAACAAGTGAGGCGCCACAGGCTAGCCAAGCGCCTTCAACAAGTGAGGCACCACAGGCAAGCCAAGCGCTTTCAACAAGTGAGGCGCCACAGGCAAGCCAAGCGCCTTCAACAAGTGAGGCGCCACAGGCAAGCCAAGCGCCTTCAACAAGTGAGGCGCATGCAAGCGCTTCAACAAGTGAGGCCTCACAGGCAACCCAAATGCCTTCAACCAGTGAGGCTTCAGCAGCTGGCAGTCAAAATTAACTTTTCGTAATGAACTGTACAGTAATTTTAAGTGTTAATTTTAGTGTTGTGTTAGTATAGGTTACATAAATTGTTAAAAATTCTTAACTTCAAAATGTGTGGCATCAATCAAGAAGACGAAGACTAACAAGGTAAATTGAGGTTTTTAGTTGAATTTTTAATAATTATATGTGGCAAGGCAATTCAAATTAAGTTGTTTGTAGTATAAAAATAGTTGGAAATGGTCACTTTTGGACTCGTAGGTGAAAAAGTACCATTATCCGAAAAATGTGATAATCCGGCTGGGGGTCCTTCCCATATAGTCCGGATGATCGAGTGGAGACAGTATATCACATCTTAATTTGGCTCCACAAGTCTTATGGCACTGCCTAGAAAACTGCTCTCTTACCTCCTCTCATTATCAAAATTCTTTAATTCAGAGAAGAGCTGTTTATCTGATCAGTACACCTGATCTCATATCTAAGATTGAATCAACCTCCCATTGCAAACTTGTTTTTACATCTGCCTTCTATTGCTATTCCATGTCTCCTGCTCTCAAAAAACTTACAAATTATACACTCTCTCTTCAAGAATAAATGATGGTCCACATAGTTACAACAAGTACTATCTACAAAGGAGGATGGGTTGACCTCATATAGAATGTTACACTTGATCCTTAAGTACCAAACTCTACATGTATAAACTATCCTTATACAGTATTTAATCTTTTATGTTCAGCTTTTACCATCACCTAATTACCTCGAATTTTATTAAAAAAATATAATTACTGAAGTGCACATTTCTTTAAATATATTCTCTAAAACAAATATTTTTTCTTTAATAACTGTCATAAAAAAAAACATTGTACTCTTAAAAGCTCTTTTTTACCACACAAGAAGCAACATCTCACTCACCTTTGCTTTATCCCGTTGCTCGGTGTACTTTACTAAACGTTGTTCAAGAGCCTCCAGCACTGTGGCTGGGGGTGGTGGTCCTGTGGATGCAGGGGAGTCACTATTCCCTACTGGACATGCCGATTCTACTGGAGTGCCAGTTGGAGGCTCAAGGAGTGCCTTATCTAAAATTGATAAGACAAGATCACACACATTTTAATCCAGGTTTGAAATCCAATAAATTATGGCAAGAAAATTTATGTGCACACTACAGATACATCTCATGTCCTCGTGTATTACATAAAATCAGCGTTGAATGTAATGAAACCCCATTTTCTGGGTGGGAGGCTCTCAGGAGCTATCCAGGCTGATATGGATATATTAGATTTCTGGCATAATGTGTATGGAGCTTTAGGCCTACTGGGGGACCACGAGCCAGAACCTGGCCCCCTCAGAGAGGCACGAGGAGCAATGGCTTATAGAATGACCATTAAATGGCCAACCTATAGAATGGCCACCCTATAGAATGGCCTGTATCTGTAAGATGGCAATGGCCTTCCGTGGGGTTGGCAGCATTCTCTGTCTGCCATCGACCGGGTCAAGCACCCAGAAGGGTATGCACCTCAAAACAAACCCCCTATTCTGGTGAAAACATTGCTACAAAGAGCCGAATGAGTGGATAGAACTCCCCAAATGAAAACAAACCAGCACATCACCACGTTGCAGCGCAGCTGTCTGCGCAACCCCCCCCCCTCTCCCCGGGAGGCAGGAAGGGGGAACTTCAGATCTTCCTGCCGGCTACCCATTCTCCAGTTCTTAAGACTGGATACGAAAAACCGCCAACTGGAGGGAGGGAGGGATTTTGGGGAGCCTCCGGGTCTCACCCAGAAAGTGGCATTTCATTACATTCAACGCTGGTTTTCTGGGAGGAGCCCTATTGGCTTCCCAGAGCTAAGTACAGTACTGTGACAGTGTCCCACCCCTATATTTTTTCCTTTCCAGCTTAGAAGAGTTATATCTCTGTCACCTGAGTATTCTCTGATGTTCAGGGAACACGTTCCTGTGTGGGGAAAGAATGGAGCGTGATTAAGCTGGCTGTAAAATGGCCAGTTAAGTTTGATAATGCAAGGGGCTTACGCCTTTTGGGGCACAAGACAGCACCGAGCCATCCTGTTTCCCGCCGAGACGTCGTGGCGCTTCCCGCTACCTGATTGGCCAGGTGAGGTCACGTGCCAGAAGTGACCAGTGACGAGAGCCCTCGGGCGGTGTGACGTCACGAGGCGGAGGGCTCTCGGGGCGGCTGGTGCCTGGGCAGGAGAGAGTACGTCACGAGCCGCCCTAGAGTGAGGATGCGCTCGGGTGAGCTCCGGATCTAGAGGCTAGAGAGCCCTTACCAGTAAATTTAAGCTTCGCTTCGATACTGCAGACAGTCTAGGAGGCCATCCAACTTCCGTGGAGTGCCCAGAAGCAAGGACGGGCCGGATTAGAGCGCCAAGCGCTCTATCAAGAGTCTGCAGCAGAGGGAACGTTGGGCTGGTGACGTCTGGGACGCCCAGAGGACCACGTTATACACATCAAGCGAAAAGCTACGGCTGGGTCGAATCTACTGGCAGTGAGGCGATGGGAACTGTGCTGGACTGCAAGGATCGGCAGTGCCAGTGAGAGTGGAGGACGACGATGGAGGTACCTGATTCCAGTACCCCGGAGAAGAGGAGGAGGAAGGCAGTACTTGTCGGGAGTGAGTACGGCGAAGACGGAGGAACCTGTGTGTGTGGGAACTGATCGTCAGGAGACCAGAAGTCAGGACCAGGAACCTCAACATCCCTCAACAGAGGACGAGTCGGCTTGGTGGTTGGAATAAAGTAAAGTAGATAATTGTCCCTTCCTTTACCCCTTTGGTCTAGGCAAGCTAGTGTATTTTATATATTGTGAACATTTCTACTTATCATTTTATTGTCTAAGTGACAGAGTGTTAGGCTAGGAGCCAAGAGCTCATGTAGGCTTGATGGTGGTGGAATATAAATGTGTTGATGCGGTGATGTTAGTGATTCTGGAGGTAGTAGCTGGTTTGCAAGGAGCCAGCAATAAACTTTGCAGTGCCCAGCTGATCGTGTTGCCAGAGGGGTGGGTGTGTCCCGCCGCCTGACAGTTGGAGCCGTCAGCTGATCGTGTTGCCAAAGGCACGAGGTGTGTCCCGCCGCCTGACGGGTGGATCCAGTCAGCTGATCGTGTTGCCAAAGGCGAGAGGTGTGTCCCGCCGCCTGACGGGTGGATCCAGTCAGCTGACCGTGTTGCCAGAGACGTGTCATGAGGAGTGTTGCCGACATCGGACGATATCCACTTACAGACATTTCCTTATGCAATTTATATGTATATAAATACAATTTCTTCAGTAAACTTTTAAACTAACTGATGAGTTTAAGTAAGCCTCCATTCTCTAGGGCTATATTTATGAGTGAGACCATTAATGACACCTAGTACTGCACGAGACATTGCATCCTTAATTAAGATAACCAATAAGACCACTGACGTGTTGCTGGGACACGAGTATAAACACCCAGCTGGCGACCTGAGCAGACCAGATATTAAAGAGAGAACCTTCCAGTGTCAGGACGGACAGGTTCAGGTGAGTTATAGGAGGCTTGAACCTCCTCACTCGCTAGGGGTGTACAAGGCCAGCCCTTGGCCGACTGGGGGAGCCCCAGGGCGAACAGTGGCGCCAGGAACTGAGGGGCTAAGACCTGTGGGAGCAACCCCAACCACAGGTAGGAAGGGGGTGAACCTTGACCATACTCAAAGACAAAAACAAAATGAGGACTTACCCTGGAGGCGGTCGGTCCTCGCTCTTCAACTTGAAGTCGAGACAACTGGCTGCAACAACCGACCTAAATGCAACACAGGCCCTACGATGCCCAGGGACACTGATAAGGTAGCGAGCGGCCAGGACCCTGTTCGACCTCCAAAAACCCCGTGCCTGAATGTCAATCCAAGACATGTTACCGGAGATGGCAGCCAAAGCAGCAAACTTACGAACGTCGTGGGCACAAGGATAGACCACAGGTTGGCTAGCCTTCATAACCCTGTGAGTTATCTGCTGGGAGGGCTGAGCCCTGGAACAGGGAAGAAAGAAAACCGTGTCAACCCAAAGCTCATCCCCAGCCTCCGAAGCCATGGCGTGCAAATAACGGTGGAGAGCCACATCCGGACACAATACATGATGCACACCTGGTCTGACCAACCAAGCATCAACAACCCAAGGACCCCTCCGGAAAGCAGCAGCCTCATTCTTTGACAGAAAAGACGGCTGCATATGAACAAACCAACCACCAGGACCAAAAGAGCAGAAACCCCTGTGCCGGAGGAGAGCATGAAGCTACCCGACCCAAACCCCTGAGGCCAATGCCAAGAGGAAAAAAAAAAAAAGAGCCTTAGAAAAACAATCATGAACCGAAGAGGCCACTACAAACCCAGAAGAGGAGAGAAATGAGAGCACCCGGTCTAACGTCCAGGACAGCTCAGGCGGCGCATGAGCAGGCCGGAGGTGAAAGAATGCACAAGGCAGCTTGCGGAATGGAGCAGAAGTAACATCGATATTGAACGCAAGCTGCAGCAAGTCCGCCAGCACCGCACGATAACAGGTGACAATATTCGGCATAAGATAGCGGTCCTGGAACGACCATGAAAGGAAGGACAAGACAACCCTATCAGAGACCGAAGTATACCTACTCATTGATAGGAAAAATGGAAGGGCCTCCAGGAAACTTCATACTGCCACCGAGACAAAGGACGCAGGTATGAAACCATCAATGAAGCCACCTGATCACCATACAAGTGATGATAGACTCGAGTCAGAAAAACCAAATGCCAAGACTCGAAGAGAAAAGCGAACCAGTTACGTACCAGGCCAAACCGATCTGTTGAAAGAAGCGGAGCCGCGGGAAGACCCTCGGGTTCGGACACTGAGCAAACAGTGCCTGAAACCAAGGCTGGGCCAGCCACCAAGGAGCCAGAAGGAAAACTCTCCCCTGGTAAGTCTCGAAGCGAGCCAGGACCTGGAGCAACAGCTGAACCAGGGGGAAAAGAGGTACAGGTAAGCCCACCTCGCCTAGTCCTGCCTGAAGGCATCAATCCCAACGGCCTCGCAGTCGTGGTAGGGCGCTATCAAAAGACTCCTCAACCACGCCGATGCAAAGAGGTCCACTTCCTGAGGCCCGAACATCTGGCACAGCCAACTGAATGAGTCGGCGTTGACCGTCCATTCTGTGGACAGGGAATGAACCGGGACAGGCCATTAGCCAGGACATTGGACATCCCCCAAACATGAACCACCAGGAGAGCCAAACCCCGAGAACTCAGATGACGAGTCACCCAAAGCAACCAGCCCCAAAGAGCCAAGGACAGCATCGAACCCCCTTGGTTCAGGCAATGAACCACCCGGGAACAGTCTAAATAGAGCCTGAACGTTGATTCGTGAGCGACCCGAACCCTCCAGGGCGACATCCACACAGCCACGAACTCCCGCACCGTGCTCTGAGCCCAACTGAAGGACGTACCCCACCGTCCCTGGCCGGCCCGGTGAGCACTGGTCAGAAAGCCCCAGCTAAGAGACATGTCCATGAACACATCGAGCGAGGGCTCGGGTAGGTGCCAAGGTACTGAATCCCGAAAAACCCTAAGAGGAAGACCCTCAATGCAGCAACCGACGCAAAGCCCCCAGGCGGCCGAACCCAGAGGTCGTGAGAGAGGCGGAAGGGCTGTTCTCGAAGGAACCAGAACAGCTGACGAAGACAAACCCGACCCGGCAGGTAGACTAACATGGCAAAATTCAGGCTCCCACACACTCTCTCGAGCAACCCCTGCATTACCCGGGAGTCCCTCAAAAACAGGGCAAAGGCGGGAACTCAGCCGAAGCAGAGCCTCCAGAGGAAGAGACAAGGAAGCAGTCCGAGCGTCCCACACAAGATCCAGCCAAGACCGAACCCGAGAGGGAACCAGATGGGACTCCCGCCAGTTCACCAGGAACCTGAACCCGGCGAGCCAGGAAAGAACCAAATCCCTGGCAAGCAGACACGCAGACCAGCCATCGAGGTAAGCCAGAACCCAAACACCTAAAAGACGCAGACGGGCCACCATGACACAGGTAAAGCATGTGAAAATGAGAGGCGCCAGATTCAAGCCGAATGGA